AGAACAGTAACTGACAGCAATGCTACACTGAGGCTTCTGCACTGATCACCACGGCTGGAATAATTTAGGAACATCAACCCTTTGGAGGCTCAGATACTGGGACTCTACCAGAATGGGATCCAGATTTGAGAAAAACACTCAATCATTCTGATAGACATAGGGCCACAAAGTAAAGCAACTTGACTTCAGTAAGTCAATGGAAGCTTCCTAGATTACTTCACTGTAGACTCTGTTGCATTCTATGTTAACAGGAACCAAAAATTATAAAACTTTTTCCCACCCCTTTACTCCTAATATTTATCCACAAATATTAACTCAAGTATTACAGAATGATGCAGTGTCTCAGCGATAGCCATTCCTACATGTTTTATGAGGGAAAAGGCCTGAGAGGGGTGCAGTACAGATGTATATACAGGGAGATATAAGGCAATCAATACATGCGCCAGTGTAAACAACTACCTACCTAAAACTTGAATTTCAATCGTTCCGTGTCCTTCAGGTGACACGCAGGGAAACTCCAAAGAATGGGATCTGAGGAGAGTATCCCAAATTGAATAACTTTATTTCATAAGTCTGAGTTTCAATTATTTATTTAGGCTAGATCTTTATTATGGACAGAATTTCAAAGAATACTAGTAGCAATGTAATCAATGTTGCTGATGAAAGATTAAAAGGAAAATCTAGCTTCAGCAAGGCTGTAGCATTTATTTCATACTCAAGAACAAGCTGCTGGTAATCAACATGTCTATAATAAATTATTTTATAAAATTTTAATGATAATTATTATTTACTTGATTACTATAAAAACATACTTTTACATGTGCAATAAGGTCTCTGGAATACACTGAAGTATATTTATGTCTGCAAGCACACTAAACAATTTTAGCTGTGATGCAAATGAAACACAAACCACTGCAGACACGGAAACTGGCAACACTAAATTTGAAAAAGAAATATTACTCAATTAATGATTACTTTTAGGCTGTAATGGTGGTACCATAGATCTCCTCTTCATTTCTTGTACATTGACAGTTTCTATAGATGACAAGACATGTTTTGTTTTGGTGTTTTTTTAAGCAGACTACAAAAAAAAACTGGCAAAAGTAATTCCAATCACATGCTGACAGAATTTTTAAGGCAGAGAGCTGTTGTACAAAGCAACATCAAGATATTTTACAAAGGCACTGAATGAAAGATAAATTTGCAAGATTAAAGTTTAATGTGAAATGAAATTAGAGAATAATTTATGAACAAAAATCATTGCATACATATAGATTTACATACACATACAAGCGCTATCCTGACTTCACTTCTTGCCTACAACTTGATTGTCTAGGAAGCAAAGGGTAATCAGCATGGTTCTTTCATTAACTGTTCAGGCAATTTTTAAAAAGTTTCTGGAGATTGCTTTATACATCTCAGAAACCTAATTAATTTTTACATAATCAGTTGAGTTGTCTCTGCTCAAATGGGGAGAACAAGAGAAGTAGTCCAACTAGGAAAGACATTCACCTAAGTAAAGGTCTGCAATATCTGGGACTTATCGGGCACCTACACAAGTACATTCAGGCTGCTCTGATGTACTGTAATTACAACGCGTCAGAGCAGATTCAATTAACTGACTCTGATGGAGTGTGGTAATTACCGTACTCCAGCAGACTCCAGCGTCATATGTATCAGCGTCCCTGCACTTCAAAGTGGCGGCAGGGGCAGTGTTCCCTCTAAGCTGTGTGGTGTGCGCGGCCGCACATGTGGGCTCATGCTGCGCTGCCAGGCACACCTGCTCGCACCACACAACTAGAGGGAATGCTGGGTAGGGGCGCTTTAACTAAAGCTCATCCAACGAGCTTTAAAGTGCCCCCACTGCCATTTTTCAGCGTGGGGCTGCTGGTACATTTGATGCTCCGGGTGCTTTAATTAAAGTGGCTCTTGGAATTGCTCTAATTAAAGTGACCCCTCCACTTCCCAGGGCCCATTCTGCCCACCTCCCTCACCCACACACCCTCACAGATATAAGATAGTAGAGCCTGCTGAGTGTGAAGGGAATGCATGCGGCACTCGTAGCAAGGTGTCAGAACTGCTGCCACAAACCAGCTACTCAGCACCCCTCTGATGTTCCTGTTGCTTGCAAGAGCCAGAATCTAGCCCACTGTTTCTTGCTCTCTATTTCTGTTTGTTTTATTTCCTTCAAGACCATGCCACAAAGGAACAGATTCACAAACATGTATAGCATGTTCCTCTTACTTCTAGATGCACACAGAATTTGTACTATTAGTTTTAAAATACGTGCAGGAGGGAGAGATTTGTGTCAGATTAAGTACAAGTGACTTGAATGAAAATGAAATTACAGTAGAGAGTTAAGATTTTTTAAGTGCTGGTAAAAGGGGCATTTTGATTGGTAAAAACCATAGCAAAATGGTTTTTGTTTCTATGGTACATTTGCAAGTGTTATAGGAGATGCCAAATACAAGTTCTCTTGCATAATGTCACTGAGATAAATGAAAGGATGAGATGCTGAGAGGGATACAATGAGATATATGAGCAACAGCAAGCCAAAATAATGCCCAAACAGAAGCAGACCCACATTCCATATGTAATAAACAAGAACCATACACAGAGTCTCTTAGCTTGCGAACTTACAGAACAGAACATGAATGGAATTACAGTTGTAAGCTAAACCAATCCTAATTAAATGAGATCCTAAATAAGGAGGAGACACAAGAATTTTAAATTATTTCCTTTTTATACAGTAAAGGAGCTTGTCTCCAGTTACTTGCTTGAAAAATTCTTGTGTGGTAAATACAACAACTTGAGATACTCTGCTTTCAATAACTTCAGTAATGAGTCTCCCATAAAAAATCATAAGGTGGATACTTGCTATTTGAAAAGGGCAATTAATTATCAAATTGAGAATAAGGAACCCTTTAAATCAAATAATTAAAATAATGTGCATGCTTTTTGTCCATTGACAAAACTGTGAAGTTGCTTGCAGATATCTGAATGCGACTCAGAACCAAAAAGCCCTGTCGCTGTTCTTATTTGAACTGCTAGCAGGACACGGAGAGTGACAGTGTTTACAGGTGATTCCCACCCTTAATTTTATAGTATAGCATAATATATAGAAAAAGGAAAGAACATAACACAAGGTAAATGTGCTCCTTCCTAGGTTAAGAATGTGTTTCTTTTTATATTTCACTATATTTTTTTTCTTTAATCTTTGGCTGATTTTACTTTTTTTGGTAGCCACCAACTAAGCAATCTAAGCATTTTAAAATCCAGACTCACTTTCTTAGTCCCTCAACAAAGCCACTGAATGCTTTTAACTTCTGCATCAAGAATGAAGATCAGACAATTATGGCAAATATTGTTTCCCTCTTCCCCCCACCACAATCTTTTTTTTTTTTTGCAGTGCAGTTTGGGCTTCTAAAGAATTAGTCATGGGTTCATAGTGATCAAATGCCCTTCATGGTATTTGATTTTGCCTGTACCCCTGTAGTTAAGAGGTGCCTGTCTTTAGAACAGTATCCACTAGACCAAGGCTTTGTTTTGAAATTGAATGTACATAATAAAGGTGGCCATTGTTCAAAAAAAATTGTAGCTCTTTATAATATTTAGGCCAAATTTTCAAAAAAAGGTCACAGTTGAGGCATTTGGATCTGCACATGCATCTGCTGTATCCCTTGAAAAAGATGTAACAAATCTTGTGCGGTGAAAACAGGCCAAATATCCATTTATACCTACATGTACCTTGTGCATGAACCCAAATGTCAGTTGGCATAGACATAACTACTGACTCTTCCTTTGAAAATTCAGCTCTTTAAGTCTTCTGTCCATGTTACCCTGGCAATTTATTTAGGGCCCAATCCAATGTCCACTGAAGCCAATAAACAAACTCCAGTTGGCTTCAGTAGGTGTTTGATCAGTTGTTTAGGTCCTTGCTAAAAGAATTAACACTGCTTAAAGTTAAGTACAGAGAAACCAGAGTACCCTTTTTCTGACAGGGACATGCATGGTTTTTGTTAGCTGCATTAGGACTGATTTTCTTGGATAGACTTGGCAATATTTATAACTGTTGGATTGTTCATAAGGTTTATGTTGCAATGACTTTATCTAGAGAAGGACTCATGAGATCTTAGTCATTGAAGCAAAGCCAGTGAAGCACCTCTCTGTAGCAAAAAGCTTGTGCTTTTGGATTGGTTTCTCCCCCTATCAGAAACACTGTATGCTCTTAAGGCATTTGTACACACATCTGTGTCGCTGTGCCAGGCACTTTTAAAAGCACCCCGCGCTGCGGCGCGTGCATTTATATAAATGGAGAAATGCACATCAGCACTGAAAAAATGGCAGCAGTGCACTTTTGAACTAAAATGCATTGAAGGTGTTTTAGTTCAAAAGCGTACCGCAGCCATTTTCTCAGCAAATGTAGCGCCAGGCACATCAGCTCATGTGCAGAGCAGACTTGATTAATCAGGAGTTCCAGCATGTCTGAGCAGAAAAATGTGTGTATAAATGCCCATAAGTTCTAATTAACACAGCAGCATCCAGAAATCCAGTGTACAGATAGAGAATCTGTTAATCTCAAAACATTTTAAAAACAGAGAAAATGAAGTAACAACTCAAAGAACTAGACAGAAGGTGACTCTCATATAGCAAAATATCGCATAGAAAATATATGGAAAAGAAGTGGAAAAGCTGAAATTTAAGAGCAACAAGAAGTACTATAAGTAGTAATTTCTGCAAGATACTAAGGTTAGGCATGAATAAAAGAATGAAAGAGCAAGGGGGCAGGAAACTAAGTTGCAAAGTTAGTGACATCTGTTGGCTAAAGAGAATAGATTCTAAAGGATGAGTATTCAAAATAGATGGAGCAACCAAAATCAAGTAAACTGTCCTCAACAAGAGAGAATTTGCAGACAAGATGTTAAGACAAGAAAAGAATGAAAAGAGAAGTAGTTGGATAGATGATCAAGAAAGATTAAGTCCAGAGAATGTCTTGAAAAGGAGGAGAACAGCTTTCAAATAGGCATGGAAAGCATGTAAGTTACTTAAAGAAAGAAAGAACTTCACCTCAGGCAATACCCAGAATATCAGGCTCCTAATAAGGAAGCTATTCCTTTCCATGATGGAACAGTACAGTTTAGGAAATGGCCACAACTTGATGGAGCAATCTGACTAGTTAAATTTCCAATCCATGTCATATCATAATGGGAACAGGTGTATATTTTAGAAGGTCATTGCTCCATTCATTTTTGCTTTTTCCCCTGAATGGCTCAGATTTTTTAAAGCTAGCTAGCACAAGGTGAGAACAATGCAAATACACACCTATTAGCTGCCACACTTGCATGTACAATTAAACTATTCACCCAAATGCCCATTTATTTGTGTACAACTCCTCTCCTTGCAAAACTATATTTGCTTAGATTCAGTAGTCATGTAAAGTACCATATATTTTTTAATTTCATCTTCCTGTTCCATACCCCAATTCACTGTGATAATACCGTATTTACTCAAATACAACTTAAAGTTTTCCACCCCAATTGGCATGGGGGAAAAAAGCCCCTTAGGGAATTTTATAATCGTATCCACGGGGATCTCAATAAATACTCTGACTGTCTTTAAATTGCTGCCAAAAGCAGCATGTACTTAGCAATGGAAACCAACTATGAAGCTGATTAACTGTAGTCAACACTGAGCATGACTATAAAACACACGGCCCACATCCAGCAAACATGCTGATGGAAACCTTTTTTTTGTGCAGCCCTGAAAAAAAATGGGTGGGTGTCGGTACTGGGCAGGGAGGTACTGCAATACCAGTCTGGCACTGGGAGGGCCAGAGTTAGCCCTGACACCCCTTCCCTTGGTGCCAAAAATGCTACATTTGATCTTAGTAAAAAAGGTCAAGATGTTTTTCCCCCAGATTTATTTTCCCTGATGTAGCAGTGGGAGGGGGACACATTCAAGGCAAACCTCCAATAATTAGATTCTATAATTGGAAAATTATGACAGAAAATTATAACTTCTATTCTGTCAGAGTTCTCAGGGCCTGGAATAGACTCCCCCCCAGAGGTGGTGCAAGCACCGTACTCTAGATACTTAAAAAAAATACTTGGATGTCTATCTTGCTGGGATCATTTGACCCCAGCTGACTTCCTCCCCTTTGGGCAGAGGGCTGGACCCGATGATCCTGCAAGGTCCCTTCCAGCCCTAATGTCTATGAAATATATGAACACCTTTATACTTTTTTTCCCCCATGTATAGAATCTAATTACTGGGGGGTTGTCTTATAATCAGGGTCATCTATTCAAGTAAATACAGTAATAAAATCCAAACACTTGTGATTTGCAGACTTTAGAGGAGTGGCAGAAGGCTACATAATTTAGTTCCCATTTATCTGAAAAAACAGAATAAAGTGAGTTTTTACATATGTTTTCACAAGATACATAATTAAAGATTAAATGTTTGATAGATACCTGAAAATAAATAATTATGTGTAAGCAAGACAATGTGAGATATCAGGGATGCTTTACTATTACCTGACACTTATACTAAATAAAAAGAGGATTTAATTCAATCTAACTTTCATCTGTTCCCAAAACAGCACTGTATATGCACATGGATATATGCATTCATTTTTGACATGCAAGAAAATTCTTAATTCAAGAGACTTTTTATAAAAACTTATACAGTACACTACTATTTTAATGGTATTTTGAATCTTCAGTAAGGGAGTAACTAATGTTTTTGGAGCGATATATTTTACTCTTAATAAAAATAGTATCTTACACGTTCCACTGAAATATTTGGCTATTTTGTTTTCATTTATCTTTAGCTTCCTGAAGTATAAACCTATGGATGATTTTTTAGATTCTCTGGAGGGGGATGGGGGATTGGCAGACATAAAGCAAATTTTCAGTGTTGTTTACCATTCTCATTGCTATAGTTCACCAGCATGCCACAAAAGACAGTCAAGAGCTTCTCACTGGCTGGATCTGTTTTACTGCACAGTGACCTTAACTGGTCTACTACAATCTGTGCACCACCTGCATGGTCAACTGCACTCCTGCCCTCATCTGTAAAACAAAGAGTTAAATTAAAAAAAAAACCAAAAAAAAAACCACCTTAGAGTTCCAAACATAACAATAATAATACAAAAGAAGTTGTTCTTAAACAGAATGAAGTGATTCCTTCAGGGAGGTCAAATTTATTTACAAGGACACTTGTGGGCCATATTTTAGTGTAACAGTGTTAAGAAAGTGAAATTATGCTACAACAAAAGGATAAATCAACTGGCATTAATACCTTTGTAAATAACGAGTTCAGGGCTTGAGTCAGAGTCACCAGAGGCAATAAATAATAACACTTCAAACATCGGTAGAATTTTTCCATTTAAGGGTCTTGAAGCAATTTACAAATTCTAATCTGTGCACTATTGTGAGGTACGTAATCTGTCCTAGCCACCATGCAGACCCTTGAAATGGAAGCACAGGGAATAAAAAACACTCAGTCCCTGAAAAACAACAAGGAACAGAATGGAAAAGACAGTGTAGACTGGGCTTTCCACTCTCTTGTTCTGTTCACTGGATATCGTTGCTTCCCTACTTTCCAATTTGGTAGCCTAAATTTAAAATCTTGGACTATTTTCCCTTCTCTACCACCAAAGTGAAGATGACGATCTACTGCAGATTAATAACAGGCCAAAATGAACCTTCATGTTACATGTCATATTCAAACTCTCTCTCGCTCTCTCCAAGAAATCATATTGTAAGGTAAAGACCCTTTAGTGTCACTGTCTTTCTTAGGCTGGTAACCAGCAGTATGCAGCTCTGATGCTCTAAAATACATGGGTCTTAAAACAAGGCATTGGTTATTATTGGAACTAAATGGAAAATTTCAGTCAAGATTTTGTTTTCATTTAAAAGAAAAGAAAAGTTCAGCAATCTCCCCATCCCTGCCTCCTTCCTCTTCCCTATTTGTTTAGTGATCCAGTAGCACACTCCCCTTCTACTCTGGCCTCCTTTACTGGGCACCCTCTCAACACTACAATCCCTCCCCCACCCGAATTCTTGAGAGCATGCTACCAAGTCCAACCCACTGCTTCCTTCTCCATATTCTGCAAATGAAAATCAGATTGTTCAGATTCTGAGAATGATCTTCCATGGGAAATACAACATTGAATGCTCCCACCTTTTATAACAAGATATTGTTTTCAATCTTATTAACACTGTGTCTTTTTCCTTAGTCTTTAAACAAATTGCTCAGCAGAGCAGGAGGATGAAGATGGGAGAACAGCCTTATAATGGTCAACAGAGTTGCAGGTGTTTTCCAGTTTTTCAGGTCAGTATCAGAATTCTAGTGTTTCTTTCAATAACAACAGAGACACGACGCAGAAACAGTAGCAACAGAAAAAGAAGTGTAACATCATATTCATCTCCCTTTGGGCTGATTAATGCTGTTGGGAATATGATTCATAGTAGGCATGGACGTTTTCTTTGAAAAATGTGAAATCTGAATCTGTTTACAATCAAACAGATATTCAGGGAAGAAGTCTAGGAAAACCAAGACATACAGAACAACAGAAATGGTAAAGCAAAAAAACAAACACCTCCTCCTCCCCTGAGCCTGAGGCAGTGACAAATGTAGGAATGACATTGAGATGAAAGCCCTGTCCAGTGGAGTCACACAATTCAACAATGCTAGGATGCCAGATTAAAGTGGCCATAGTAGCAAGTTAGCAGGGAAAAAAAATCCTTGGTTGGATGAGTTTGTGTTCTCATTTCCTTTCCAGCAATGAAACAATTAAAGATATGTCCATTAAAATGGAAGTAAAAAAATATCACGATACTGCCAACATTCAGACTAATGGACTTAATCCTAATCTCAAACTACTGTAAAGGACTCAAAGTCAATGGAATTAAGGTAATATAGAACTAGTCTGAAATGAAATAGGATGCAAGATCTGGTTCTTATACTCTCTGAATCAATTTACACATAAATATGTGAAGAAAGAAACATGCAAAAGTAGGATGAGTTTTTCCTTTTTTCTAGTCATAGCAGAAAAACACAACTGATGGTACTGTATCAACTTATGCCACATGAGGGTCTTACCCTGTAAATCCTTCCGTTCCATTCTTTGTCAGATTTGCCAAAGAAATTAAGTAAGGAATATTATCATGCTGTTCGAAGTACTTTGCATTTGATTTCAGCTGCTTGACAGCATTAACAACATACCGATTAAATAAGTATATAATTAGCCTGATTTTATATGTACTAAAACTAAGGGTAAGGGGAAAATCCTATTCCCTACACAAAGCGCAAATGACCAAGGCAGGAAGGAACTCTTTAGGGAGATTGGGGGTGGAGTGGTGTCAGAAGATCAGAATCCTTCTCATCTCGGTGACAGGCTGCAGAGTTCCTATGCAATGCCTTTGTACAGGCTGTGGAGTGTAGATCTGTATAGCCAGGAAAGTCCTGACTACACAGAACCATGTTCCTTTTTCTATCCCCTCTTCTACATCACTGACCTGCTAGGAAGCTTGCTTCAGAACTGACACCACTGAAGGTGCCTCTCTGCCCTACAGGCCTTGCTGCAGTGATAATTGGAACTTGCTGCCTTCCCAAACTCAGGTGGATTGGCTCAAATTATTCAGTCCATGTCACAAAAGAAACAAGTATTGGAATTTAAAATAGAACTCAGAAGTTTCTGGCTACTGGCTCTGTGTTCAGGCCATGACACCACGTTGCATCTCAAATCAAAATAGCCTACTTCCGATTCAGAATGCTATGTGAAGCTCTTCACAAACTTCCTTCCTCTCAGTCTCTAAGATACAGGCTTTGCGTACAAGCACACTTGCTAAACCGCAGATCAATTACAGACAAAACAAAATCATGGTGTGATGCAATGTCTTGTTCTCAATATGACTGTTGCCTTGTAGGTGGGCAGTGCTGTAAACTCCCACAGCTGAAGTGCTTCCATTCTCCCAGAAGCTCTGCATTGAGATTTTTCTGTGACCTTCTTAAATAAACATTTGCTATTCCTGTGAGCTTCATGAGTGAACAGCTTAATTAGTGAATTCACATCTCTACTTGAAAATGCTTTACTACAGCTCAGTTTATAGTTTTGTTTTAAAAAGGGTAAATGTACTGTTATTAAAGATGCCAGAATGACAACCTATGAGACCAGAGTTTAATTTTCCCAAAGAAAAGGTGCAGCACAGACCTAAGCAACTGCATCATCAGGGTGCCTGAATCTTTACATTAAGGCCAAGAGAGTATTTTGGTCTTCCTGTTCAAACCTTAGTCACTGATGATATGCTCACAAGATTTTAGTGTGAATTAGATTTTAATGTAGATCATAGAAACCTTCTGCCTATCTATATATTTTCTATAAAAGGAAAGTCTCTCAAACTGTTTATTTCTTCCCCTCCACCTCTGCCCTCGTCTACATTTTTCTTGAATGTAGTTGTCATAGATCATGTGATTAGTTGGTCTTTAAAGACTTATGTGAAGAAAAACTAAATCATCCATGGGTAGGGAACTGTCAAACTGAGCATGTTTTTTTTCCAAATTATTCTTTTGGGATGGGTGCAGAGTAGCAATTTTCTGTAAAGCCAGCAGATAATTTAAAACCCATGGCTTTTGGTAGAAAACAGCTTCCAGGGTACTTCTCCCCTCCTTCAAGCTTCATGCTCTGACTGCCACTTGCTAATACATTACATGGAGATTCTATTTAATGAGGAGGGAAAAGGTATAAAATAAACCTAACAGCTTTATAATTGATTTATAGCAAAAATCTATGCAAGGCAGAGGCAGCTGGTGCAGCTACCCCTCCCACCTGCCCCTGGGTTGGTCTCTACTGCTTAGTTGTTACAGAGCTCATATGTCTAACTTCTGCCCGTGCTCCCTGCTCAGATCATCCACTTTTTCTTCTTCTTCTCTTCTGAAGACAGAGGGGAGCATTTGGCTGAAAGAGAAGCAGAGCTTAAGTGGGAAGAATGATTGGGGATTTATACTTGTGGAGCTGCAGGAGGCTTAAATATGCGTAATAAACAAAAAGTCATGTATACATATTAGAAAATCAAGTACTTGTTTTAATAAATTTTCAGATACTTAATAATCGTTGAAAGTGGAACACACCTTTCTAAGATTAATCTCTGTATGCAAAATCCCCCAAAATCATTGGCATGAGGAACTAAAATTAAATTACTCCATTCTGCTTTCCATATAAGCTGTCTACATCAAGGGTTGACAGTCTATGGCTCATAGGATTCATCTGGCTCACAAATAAACTTTTTCCAGCCTACCAAGCACCCATGTTGTGGAAGTTTATGTTATCCACCATTATTACATTCTGCATGAGAATGCATCATCTGGTGGTGGAATATCTAACAACTGCCACCTCCAGCCCACCTTCAGACCAAGTCCTCCGTTAGCGAAAGGTTGCTGAATCCTGGTCTACATCATTCTCTCAAGTTTTCTGTCCTGATTTGTTAAGCCATAAAATCTAAAAAGCTATCCTTACAGTTTATAAGGCACAATAGAATCAGATGAAATTAAAGCTTGAGTTCAAAACATAAAGTCATGATATTCATGGGATGATCATGCGTCTGAAATATCTGCACTTGTATGTTGATTTCTAACCCCACAGTGAGTTGATTACTTTTAGAACCAACTCAACGATAGCACAAAGACTGCCACAATATAGACAGGTGTTAGGATATGTTTCTAAAACTCAATGCACCTTCATTCTAGCTCAAATTAGCTTTGCATTTCCATTCCTGTGCCTTTCTGTAACAGTGTTTAAGCTGTGCAAATCTGAGTCGTGTTTGTTTAAAGAAGCAGACACGTATGCCTTTTAGAGATGCATATTTCTTATTATTCTGTTTGTGTTTAGAGCCATGTTTTTTCCTTCTGCTTTCATGCTTAAAGGAAAATGACAATGACTAATTATAACAATCTTCTAATTATAAAAATCATGCAGAGACTCATATTTGCTTAACTGTGTGCACAAGCAGGCCTACAGTACATAAAGCTAAACATGTTGAATAAGTCTCTGAAAGATGAGGACCTTAGC